TGAAAAAAATTAAATAGCAAAAATCGAATAATTGGAACAATTAGAACATAAAAAAATTTTTTTGAAAAATTAAAAAATGGGTCGGCGGGTTATGCAAAACGAAAAATTAACTTTGCGTGGCCTAACAAATCTATGAATTCACGAATTTTAATGCATTGGTTAAAAGATTTTTATACATAATTAAATTAATGCGATTAAAAAATATGAGTAGCATTAAGTAACTATAGTTTATTTTAAATACTAAAGTTTGTATTTACTCGCTAAATTAGCAAGAATAAATAAGCAGAATTGTGAATTAAAAAGCTTATTTAAGCAATCGATCAAGATCTTTATACTCAACTGAATTAACGCTAATAAAACAAAATCATATACGTATATTATCCAGAATCAATTCTGAGAACTGACTAGCCGTTTCCTTAACATTATATTTAGCTTAAATATATTATCCAGTTCTGAATTTCTGAAATTTTTTTCACTAATTCCCGATCAAAATGCTCGTGTTTTAAGTTCGTTGATAATAATTTTTTGACATTGTACAAACGCCTTAGTCTTAATCTTTCTGCTTAACAACAGGAACTAAACAAAATAATATAAACATTACTATGTAATGATAGTTATTTATAAAAAACTTCGTACTCATAATAAATTAATGTGAACAAGTATATACTCACTCAATTAGCTAGATTAAATGCAAATCAAATAAGTAAATGCTCACAAACTTGAATCACTTATTTTAATTAATTAAAAAGCTCTTTTATACTCACCATCCAAATTAACACGAATAATAAGAGGCACTGAATATCTATATACAATTTTAGCGATGTAACTAATTATCATGTTTGGTTCGAGTTCTTATATTTTATTGTTTAAACGAGTTGTTTTGCTTGTAAAAGTATGACGCACTTTATTTTGTGAATTCAATACAGTAAATGTTCTCGAAATCAAAGCGAAAGTGAAACGAAAGTCAATGTGAAAGTCAAACCGAAAGTGTCAACCGAAAGTCAAAACGAAAGTCAAAACGAAAGTCAAAGTGAAAGTCAAAACGAAAGTCAAAGTGAAAGTCAAAGTGAAAGTCAAAGTGAAATCAAAGTTAAAGTCAAATGAAAGTCAAAATGAAAGTAGAGTGAAAGTCAAAGTGAAAATCAAAACAACTTTACCGGCAATTAGTTTTCGAAATCGATGTAAGCCAGAAAAAAATCCGGTTACCATTTTTTTGGGGCGACGCTATGTAAGCTCGAGCCTAGTATTTATGTCATGTGAAACGTTCGTGTACTTACAAGTAGGATCATCTTCATACTTACTATACTTATAAGTATGGTCATCTTTCCTACTCATAAATTTAAGATCTAAAATCGTACTACGCTACTACTTTTATTTTTCATACTATACTATATATATACTTTAGATAGGACTCGTTTCATCCTCTTTTTGTCCATTCATTTTGAGTATACGTAAATAAATATTTTATTATTTATAAGGATAATCACAACAAAAGTTAGTCAGCATTAGCATAATGCTAGCCGATGACAGACTATAGGGTATGAAACAAACGCTACAAACTTGTTATGTGAATATTGTAAGACCCCTTATAAGAAATTTTTACACATGAGTACACACGTCTGCACTAGAGTTGCAGGTGAAACTAAGCACCGATGGTGCACCAGGTGAAACTGGTGAATTAGAGTTACAGATGAAACTAATCTTCAATGGTGCACCAGTTTTCTAGCGAAATTAATTAGTTACACCTGCAACTCTAGTCTGCACATGTAATTGCATGAAACTTTCTTATGTGCACTATATGTCCACGAAATAATGAACGGCTCATACGTAACTATACTGGAAATGCACGGAAAAGCATGTAAAAAAGCACGCTATTACGTGTTGTATTCCATATAGTTCTGTATGATGTTATGTACCCGTGTTTGACCATAAATCCCGTTAACCATTTTTTACATTTTTTATAGGGACCGTTATATAAAAAGACTATCGGGACTATGCATGAAATTGTTGGATCTGCATTACTATAAATTCTGAGACACTTGAAAATGACCGAAATGATAAGTTTTTGATATCAATAATTTATTGATAACTTGTCGATTCGGTTACTGAAAACAGCTGAAACACCGCCTATATGGAGTCTTTGTTAATGGGATATATTTTTCGCGAAAATTTACTCGTTACCGCACGAATATTCAATGTGCGAATTTTGTAAAACAATATAATTTTTTTAATAATATGATCTCATTAGATATTGATTAACGTTCATTCTGTAAAATTATGACGTGATTGGTGCTCGTGATATGCAGCATTGTTACACAAGCTGCGAGGGTCGCTCAACGCACAGAACTTAACGTTAATATATTGTAAGGTTGGCAAAAGGGTATTTTAGGACTTTAGGATTTTTTCGGATAGCTACTCCGAAAATTGTCGCTTAATATTAATCACATCAGAAAACCAAAAAAAAACTGAATTTTAGTTAATTCTGTATTTATTCCTAAATTTTAGAATATTTTTCAGGAATTTGGAGCATTCTTGAGTAAGCTAAGCTCAAAAATTTTTAGGACGTCCGAAAACCACTTTAATATATTGATATTGATTGATATTTGATTGATATTGATTTCTGATTTTAAACTACTGTACTACTTGTATAAATACTTGTGTAACGTAGATCCCGGAAATCATCGGGATACGACTGCAAATCGAACCATCGATATTAAGTCAATAGCCTTTTATATTATAAATCCAATTTAAGTTCTTGATTTGGTGAGATGACATAGGGATCTTTGCCTTGAAACCAAGTACCGGTTCATGTTTATATATTAATCAAATTTTAACTTTATTGATTCGATACTTCATCGAATACTATTGAATCAATGGTAAAAGATGATCAACATATAAACATGAATTAGTAACTCGAGTCTGTTTTTGTCCGAATCAACCCGATCAACAAACCCCATATAGTAATGATTTGATGGCATTTATACCCTTTACGTGGTTGCCAGATACTATTAAAAAAGTACATTCGAAATATTCTTTCCATTTTATTTCGTTGAAAGACAAATTTTACTCCACGTTATTTATTCATACCATAATAGAGATGTCACGCCATGAAAAAATATTATTTATTTTCTGCGCAATATATGCATTCGTCCTTTTCTCGATAATAATAGAAACATCAGTTCATGAATATATTAATACTAATACCACTACGGCCAATACAACTGAGTTAATAAGCAAGCTTAAAATCAAACCCACCAATTTTGCTGAATGGAAACAAAGACATTATATGACAGGTTATTTCAATAAGGACCGAAAAGTGAGAATATATATAACCGAAGGTGATTGGTATATAAGAGATGACCTTCCAAGACTCAGATATAAACATGATGAAACATTAACAATTTGCGATATACCATGTATCTGGACAGTAAAATCATTAAATGATTTAACGTCCGAAGAGCTTAAAAACGCTGATGCTCTTTTTTGTGTTAATCAACCAAGTTTACCAAAAAAGAAAGCATGGAAAGGACAAAAGTTCATACAATATACTTTAGAACCTAAGATTCATTGCCCACAATGTCATGATAAAAACCACATATTTGATATCCGCGCAACTCATGATGCGAGTTCTGATATACCTACAAGTTATGTTAGAATGGACTCTACAAGATGGAGATTAGTGCCTCCTTTTGATGTAAAAAAGCTCTCTAAGAATTCACCATTTATTTCGTTTATCGCTTCTCACTGGACTGAATTCAGGGAGAATTTTATTTCAAGTATTGAAACCCATATTCCTGTCGCATCCTTTGGTAGTGTCCGTCATAACACCGATTCGAACATTCATCCTGAATGCGGGGGTTTAAGCCTCTTTGATTCAAAGAATTGTTTAATTTCTAAATATCCATTTTACTTTTCAATTGAAAACTCTCAAGAAAAAGATTATTCTACTGAAAAACTTTGGGATACGTTTAATTTGGGTGTCGTGCCTGTTATATGGGGTGCACCTAATACTCGTTCATACCTACCACATCCTAAATCTGCTATTTTTATTGAAGACTTTAAGGATGCCAAGGCTCTTGCTGATTATTTGAAATATTTAGTTAAAAATGAGACTGCATACTTAGAATATCACAAGTGGCGGACTATGAAGTTGTCTGATGAATTTGAAAAAAGATCATACTTGAGTATGTATAATCTTGAATGTAACGTTTGCAGAGAAGTTGCTAGGTTAAGGATTCTTGAAGAATATAATAATACTGATACATGACCTAGAGTCTTGTATACCCTATGATAAAAATAAACGTTTTTTTAATATTTCCTGTTGGTAAGGAAAACATTACTACAGAAGTGTAAACTTCAATCAAATAATTAATAATACACTTAATTACATGGTTAGAAAATTTTACACATACAAAGAAAAAGTTTTATAGGTTGAAAGAGGGTTCGTAACTGTAATTAGTTTTTTTTCACTTAACGGACTTCCCGTATTTTTCACTTAAAATTATAACAAACAAGTCGGCAGATTTTTAAAAAATCTTAAAATTATGGGATATTAACCAATTGGTTGAGATGGATATTCGTTAGACTCATCAAAAATAGATTATACTATAATATGTATGATATGCATTAGCGTTAGATTAAAATTGAAACAAATTAGTTGGAGGGTGGCTGTACTTTGTAGGATGGACTAATAAAGTGACTTATCTATGCAATTATCATTTAAGGGATCTTTACAGAAACTAGCACTTTTTTTTGATGAGTTTATGATAATATTAAGTTATCAATATGATATCTTTCATGATGAAAAGATTATTTTATTTCAATATGAAAATAATAATAAAATTATAGTTTAATAATTAGAAATATTATATTCATAACACCGTGTTATTATAACACCCTATATGTCTTACTTAGGGTTAGGGTCCAGTTTTAAGATACATAGGGATTTTTTATTATACAATATATATTAGACATAAGGTCCTAATAGGTCCCAATTTCAGTTTCCATGAGGTTTTCAGGGCGCTGATCATTTTTACTTAGAGTACCTACACCCATTTACTTAGTACGTTTTTGAAATATTGCAAAAGGTGTTATATAACACGGTGTTATGAATATAACTTTCCTAATAATTATAAAATTATTGTAAATTACTATAAGATTATTATAAGCTATTATAAGATTTTTTAAGATTTTTTAAATATTTTCTTAAGATTATTATAAGATTATTATAAGATTATTTTAAAATTATTTTAAAGTTTACTTTAAGATAAGGCCATACAAACTTATATTTTCAGTTTTTATATCCCAGCTGAGCAGCAAAGTGGGAATCCAAAAAAAATTTTTTAATATACAGTATCTACTAATAAAATCCTTCATGTATATCATGTGACAAAAACAACTTTACTGGATTTTTAATTTTAAAAAATATAGTTACAATAGAATTAACATAAATATAGTTAATATATTATTAATATATTATTAATATATATTAATAATATAATTATAATCTTTTTAGATTTGTAATATATATGAATTATATTTTTATTATATATTAATTATATTATTAATATATAATTATTCTATTTTATTAACATATGGTGAACATATAGTTATAACAGACTTAACATAAACATTTTAAATTATCTAAATAATATAACAATAATATTAAAATCATTAAAAACTAATGTAATATTTTATTATATAATTAATATAATATATATATATTATAATAATATATTAAAAATATTTTACAAAATTGAAAAATCTTGTAAAAAAAGTTGAATTGTTAAATTCTTGTGAAATAGGGATAGTTTCAGTTTCTAATCATAATATAAGTACCGCCTAAATACAAATTCAGTAACATACTGTATATTCATAATATGTATTTTGAACTGGATTGCACTTGATTTATTTCAAGAAAGAACCATTTATATACCATTGTTACACCTAATTCGCCTAACATAACCACCAAAATCATCAATGAAACATTAATTAGCAATTAAAAAACGGCATAAAGTATGGGACTTTGTAGTTGAGAGAGTCAAAAAAAATATGATTTTAAGATAATCAAGTTTATCATATTCTAATAATTCGGATATTTTCACGCCGAAATTTATCAAATTTACCCAAATATTATTATATTTTCTTAATGAAATTTATTATAAAAATTGTTAAATTGTTGTCTTCGAAATGCCCAACTAAATACGTAAATTGTATCAACTATAATTTTAGGTAGTTTTAAAAGCCTGAATTTCATAACAACTGTGACATAATCAAAGCTATATTTAATTTATCGCTAGTGGAAATTGCTTTTATTTCACTCATCCATGCTAGTCGAAAAAATATGATTTTGAGATAATCAAGTTTATTGTGTTTATTGATTAATAATTTTGGGTGATGTGCAAATCACAAACCATCTAAAATTTTTTATGCAACGGATTTTCGAGCCGAAATTTACCCATTGATTTTCAGTGGCAGTTTGGGCCCTTCTACCACAAAGAATATTTTCTTAATGAAATTTATAATAAAAATTTTTAAATTGATTTATCTTCGGAATGTCTTCGGAAATCCAACTAAATACGTAAATTGTATAAACTATAATTTTAGGTAGTCTTAATTTTTGCATTTCACAAAAACTGTGATATAAACTTTTACTAATCAAAGCTATTTTTAATTTATCGCTAGTAGAAATGAGTATCCAATTTTCGGCATAGCATGAAATTTGACTCAATAGTTTTTCAACATTTCTTTTGTTGTAAGAATATTAAAGACCTAACTGGATCAAGCGCCCTACGCATATTATAGGTCTATCAGCTCACCAGCTTCAAATGTAATGATATTTATTTAAAAGTTCATTGTATACCGTTGCATTTAGTATTCCGATCTGGTCGACCTGAATGACTCGATACTTCGTGCTAGTGATACGGGCCGGCCCGGAAATTATCGGCCGGGAATCTTCGGAATGTAGACAATAAGACAACATCGAATATGAATCTCTTATAAGGTCAAAGAAAAAAGTATTGAATCGGATCTGAATAACTCCCCAATCCATGTCTAAAGTGCGATAAATGTTGAATATCTTTCAAAATCTTTCAAAATCTTTCATAAAAAGATCGGCCCTGACCGACCGGGCCGGCCTCGACCCGAGATTTTTCCATCGGCCCGTATCACTACTTCGTGCTATAATATATTATATTTTATTATAGGTGATGATCATCCATATAAAAAAGTTTTGAAAACGTATCACGGCTTTCTCGTTCCATTATTCGGATAAATTCGTCATCCATTTATCCATATCTGAATTTATCCGGATATCCATTTACTATTGATATCCGGATTAGAGATGCAGGAGAATTAATTCCACACGTGTAGAATTAATTCTACAAGCGATCTACAATTCTACAATGCAGTAGAATTGCAAATTGGTGATCATTAATAGATTTAGTAATTCCTAGGGCTATGAAAAAGCTTGTCGGACCCGGTCCTTGAGTCGACGATACAGGGACTTTTTGGGACCGACTCGGATCGACTTCAGACAAAGTCCCACTGCATAACTTTTGTTTTGAGAATTATTCATTTTGATTGGCTAATTTACGTTGTCAGACAAAATCCGACTGCATGTCTTTTGTTCTGAGAATTGATCATTTTGATTGGCTAATTTACGTTGATTCATACATAAAATGGAATACTGCAAAGGATCGACTCAAGGATCGAGTCCTGATCAAAGCCCCTATTTTAGGAGTCCGGACGGATAGGATAGGACTTTTAACAGCCCTAGTAATTCCACAATTCTACATGCATGATATTGTAGAATTGACGTAATTTCTACAATTCCACAATGTAGAATTGTAGAATCATCAATTCTGCAATTCTACACTTGTAGAATTGTAGAATCATCAATTCTGCAATTCTACACTTGTAGAATTATATGCTGACCGAATCTATGATTAATTCCAATCCAATCCGATAATTTACCCAAAAGCTCTGGCAACTTACATCAATTATCTCAGTAACTTACGATTAGTGTTCCGCAAAATGGATTCAAAGATCCGGATCCGCTGACGGATCCGGATCGGATCCACGATTTTTAAGATTCGTCAAATTCGGATCCACATAGAGATCCGATCCGTCATATATAAAAGCGTCAGACCTGAGCTGGATCATATAGGATAACTTTCTTCTGATTGGTCAATCTTATTCAATTGAATTTATACAGTTTAAAGTACTTTTCGAGATCT